GAATTGAAGGATAAAATTGCTGTTTAGAAAAATTAGAGGCTTGGTATGACTGAGAGAGTAATAACAAGTGATAGAAAGTGTAATACACACACACACACACACACACACACACACACACACACACACACACACACACACACACACACACACACACACACACACACACACACACACACACACACAGCAGGTAAAACTGAAGGCCTGTCAGGATAACCCACACAAGTGGATATGAGCATTCCTGTGTGTGTGTGTGTGTGTGTGTGTGTGTGTGTGTGTGTGTGTGTGTGTGTGTGTGCGTGTGTTGGAAAACAGAAACCATGAATTATCAAATTACAGAGAAGCATCTATTTTTTACCAACATCATGAGATTGTTGAGCACTCTGCAATTGTTTGTGTGCGATGCACAACCCACAGCATGATACGCAAGGAAATGTATCATAAAAGAATGTTGTTACAACACGACTTGTCTTCTTCCAAGTCTGTAGTGCATTGCCATTTCTTAATAAGAATGCTCTGCTGCGGTTCTTTTGAGCGCCAAGGGAGAAGCAGGTTGAATAAGGAATAAAAAGCACGCAGGCCCCCCTGCTGGAGGAAAGTCCAGGCTACTTATTAACTTGTGAGCCATGCTGGTGAGGCTAATATACTGCTTTCTAGTGAAACATCACACATCAGCTTCTGAGTCACCATTTGGGATCGAAACTGTAACTTGTTCCACACAAAGCTGCCTGATTAAACAAATCAAGGGTAAAGTCAGCTTTACAGAAAGAGGGAGTGCTACACATGTAGCTCTAAATACATAGCGACAATAATGCCACCAATGTGACAAAACCGATCATATTTCAAGTTACCTTGTCTAATTAATAAACTCCAATAGAGATTTTGGACCAACTGGTGATAGTTTTTTTTCTTTGTCTCCATTAAGGTAGACGTCTGCAACGTGTAGTTGAGCTCTAATGAGATGGTGGCAGAGGAGTTGTGCCCGCCCCATAACCAGAGGTTTGCAGGTTTGAGCCTCATTTTTTGCAGATGTTGTGCCCATAGGCAACATACTTAACTCACCTTGGCTGGTGGTGGTCGGAGGGACCGGTGGCACCCGTGTTCGGCAACCTTGCTTCTGTCAGTGTGCTCCAGGGCAGCTGTGGCTACAATGTAGCTCATCACCACCAGCATGTGAATGACTGTGTTGTAAAGCACCTTGGGGGGATGAAGAACTCTATAGGGCATAACAAATACCTTGTCACTTACAGTTAATACCTCTTATCCTTATTATAAGCCCTTTGGCACCATATTGCTTAGATGCTCAGTTTACGCTGACTCTTATGGATCTTATTTTGTTTTGATCCACAAACCATTACCTAAGACATGCACCAGATAATAATCACCGTTGTATTTATGAGACTTGATTTTGTGAATACGAACACAGAAAATAATTATATATTTATGCAAAAGCTGTTTAACATGCAAGAAAAACCAACTAGAGAAGCCAACTAGAATGTGGCCCAAAAACATTAAAATATGCTTAAAAAAAAAAAATTATATATATATATATATATATATATATATATATATAGATAGATAGATATAGATAGATAGATATAGATATATATAGATATAGATATAGATATATAAGCCAATACGTCTAAAAGAACAGGGATGAAGACAGGAAATGGAAATCTGAAGGTGATACTGCTAGGGAGGATCAGATAAGTGGAAACAGGTGTGCTGATCTGGAGGAATGAGCAGGTGAGATAAGTGGCAATCTGAATGCAAGACAGAGGATGTTTGGTGGTTGAACTGGGTACACAACTGAATACACATAGAAAAAATAAATAAATGAATGAAAAAAACAAAAATAAATCTCTATTAGAAGTCAATAATCCATGACTGACTGTAATCTACACATGCCAATTTGTTCTAATGGTTTTTAGAATAAAAACAACCACTGAGGCATTTGTCCCCAGATATGTTGGAAAAGACTCTGGGTCCTCTACTCTTCTATATCTACCACTGAGTAGATTTTTTAGCAGTATAAGTCATGAACTATCACATTTATGCTGATGACTGCCAAATTTATTTGTCACTAAATCCATAAAATTCCACATGTCTAATTATGAAGAATTTCTCAGAAGTCAAAAGCTGGCTACCTTTCTTCTTTTAAATTATGATGAACGACAGATGAACCATTAATTGCAGATCCTTCTACTTTCTGCTTTAATCTGAAATGATGTGTCTCCAGCCTCGGAGTAGAACGCTACTCTAAGCTGTCTATGATACCCCAAATAAATGCCACTGTTAAGTCCTGCTTCTTCCATCTTTACCGGTTAACACGTGTAAAACACATTTTTAAAATATCTCACCTTCAATCTGTCATCCATGCTTTCATGACCTCTAGGTTAGATTATGCTAAATCCATCTTCCTCGACACTAGTAAATCCACCATTGACCACCTTTAGAAAATGCAGATTTCCACACCGCGCTTCTTAACAAACACAGACAGAGATATTGCATGAAAACTGGCTGACATACATTGACTTCTATCTACCGTGTTCAATCTAAGGTTGTAAAGTTAGACTACACTTGCTACCACTTGGTAAGATTTTAGCAAGTCTCGTGGTTAACTACCACTTTTACGCAGATGATTGCCAGATCTACCTTCAAATCAGCCAACAACACTCATTTTCTCTATTGTCAGAATGCCTCTCTCAGGTCAAATCCTGGCTTTCTCAAAACTGCCTACGGTTAAATTACAGCAAAACAGATGCCATACTTTTTAGCCCCACTAACACGAATGGTGCTTTAGGTGTCCCAACTCTCCCCTCACTCAATCTCAAATCATATGCCACTAGCCTAGGCGTGAAACTGGACTCTGACCCGTCAATGACTTCTCAAGTCAACGCCACTGTCAGGTCATGCTTTTTCCAACTCTGCCGCATCACACGTCTTAAATCAATCCTCAAAAGCCCACATTTTGAGTCAGTCATTCATGTTTTCATTACTTCATGTCTGGATTATGCGAATTCTGTCGTGATTCGGATTAATGCTTCAGCCCTAAACAGACTGCAGAAGGTTCAAAATGCAGCGGCCAGATTTTTAACCAACACCGACAGACGCATGCACATCACACCTATCCTCGTAGATATACACTGGCTCTCAGTCAAATTTAGCATTCATTTCAAGGTCTTGTTATATGTATACAATGGATGCATGATGGCGCCGCAGATGGCAGCCTCGGTACATTGCTCTCTTTTGTTTGTGTTGTTTTTGTACATTTTTTTGGCTCATTTATTGTGGTTGTTGTATGTTTTAGAGAGCGAACATCTACCGAAGCCAAATTCCTTGTAAATGTAATTTTACTTGGCCAATAAATCTGAAATCTAATCTAAATCTACAAGGCGTTGTGTTGCCCATCCCCATCCTATCTGACGGACCTGCTGACTCCGTATGTTCCCACTCGTGCCTTTCGTTCAGCAGATCATCTCCTGCTTGTTGTTCCGAAGGTTCGGTACAAATCACGGGGGGAGCGTGTCTTCTTTCATGCAGCCCCAAAACTCTGGAACACTCTGCCCTTCCATGTGCATTTGGCTCCCTCTGTCAGCAGATTCAAGTCGGCCCTGAAAACACACTTTTTCAGTATTGCCTTCCCTCCGTGACGCTTTACATGAAAATCCAGCACCGGGTTTATTTTTCTTAATTCGTTTTTATGATTCAGTTGCTCACTTTTAACACCTCGCACCATCTTGTAGCTTTTTTGATTTTATTTGTGCCATTTCAAATGGTTTTTATCATTTGTCGCATTATTTTTATTTTTGATAGTGCTGTTAACTGTTCTCCTATTCTATTGTTTATAGTAGGAATTTTTATCCTTGATTATTTATGCCATGTTTTTATGTATTTTACCTGATTTTCATGCTTTCATTGTGTTTTGCTAATATGTTCGAGCATTTGGCTCTTTTATACATAGCACTTTGGTTAGCTCCCATGCTATTTTGAAATGGTATGGTATGGTGTGGTGTGGTGTGGTGTGGTATGGTACAAAGCCCTTAATTATTTTGCCCCATCTAATCTCTCTGAGCTGCTCATCCCATGGAAAACCCGAGTACCCGGAGGAAACCCACGCATGCATGGGGAGAACACGCAACTCCACGCAGAAAGGCTGCAACCTTCGTGCTGCAAGGCAACAGTGCTAACAACTGCGCCACCATGCACTATAAGACCAAAGGGGGACAGGCTGTTTCATTTGCTGCCCCAAAACTTTTGAATAAACTTCCACTTCCCTGAGTCATGCGTTTGTTAGCCCGATTTAAATCAGCCCTGAAATATTTCAGTGAAGCTTTTGGCCATTGATTATTTGATTTGATTTTCTGTTTATTTTTTTACTTGTATTTTATCATTTTTTACTAGAGTTAGCTGTTTTCACTTTCATCATCTGCTGTTTTTAAAAGTGCTGTAGAAATAAAACTGGATTGATTTGGTCATAACCTGGATAACAGAAAGTAGAATAAACCTCCCTTGTATTATGACTGGGTTCAGTCTTGAAGATACATGGGTGTGAGAAGTCCAAAGGTGAGCCATTTCTCTTAAGAGTCAGATCGGTGTGCTGGACATCTCGACAAAAAAAATCATACGGTCAATTTCCCTTGAACATGTTTTAAGTTTCTCTGGCCTGGGAATGCCTTGTTTTGTGATGGGTAAACAAGAAATGCTGCTTGGCGAAAATGATGCCCGGGCCTTTCTACTCCAGCCACCTGGTGGCACTTGTTTTGGCACTTCAACTTCTTTTAGCACAATTTCCCTCACCATATAGAACTCCTGTAAATGCTTAGTGGTAGGTCAACAGTGTCTTTTGAAGCCTACTGATTTACCAAGCTCCCAAAGACTATCTTTCTGTTTAACTTGCTGCAGCTGTAAGATTTACCTGTCACCTCTTACTTCACTTTTTGTGTGCCTTATCAGTATTTGTTTCCTCCGGTTTAATTTACTCCATTTCTTCTGTCTTCCAGTTGCCCTGTTTCCTGTGAAGGATAATGGAACGGCTGTGGTTCTCTTTGCTGTTGCTGGCGGCAGCATGCAGGGGACAGCCGTGTCCAAAACGTTGCATGTGCCAGAGCCTTTCTCCATCGCTTGCTATCCTCTGCTCCAAGACAGGCCTGCTCTTTGTTCCTGCTGCCATTGATCGACGTACCGTGGAGCTGCGGCTTCAGGAAAACTTCATCACAGGTATCATCCCAGCCCAGCTAGTCCACCCAGGTTTTCATTTAAATACGCCAGATAAATTCACATAGCCATTTTTTTATTGTTCTGATTTGTTTGACAGTGGATATTTGTTTTACTAGAAGAAATCCCATTTGTTGATAGAGTGTAGTAATAATTGTATCTCAGAATACACCGTGGAAATGTTCACAGTGAATGCAAATGCATTTTCTATTGCCATCTGCCTATAAAAAGTTGATATATATATATATATATATATATATATATATATATATGTTAAATTTAATCTGGATCCAGTTAAGTCCACAGATCATCAATACAAAAGAAATTTAAGCAAATGTGCCACTGTTGCACTGTCTAGGAAGTCATTTTAATCATGAACATAGATTAAGTTTACCAAATACAGCACTGCTTCATTTAGTTCTACGTACCTAATCAAATTGCCTCAGACATCAAGCCATAAAGAAAAAAGCATCAGAAACTCTGTAAAACAAAACGGACTCGGAAAAAACGCAGACAAAACATTTTCAGATGGAAGTAACTCAGAGAAAAGCATTTCATAGGTGGTTCTGTTCTCCGATGTTTTTTGTTGTTGCAAATGTTACTAACATACTGCTAAAGTCTGTGGAAATGTATTACACACCTACGAACAGAGGAAAAGAGAAGCACTGTTGTCTAGTCATGTCCAAATTGTTCTCCAAATACGTCAATATTGTGTGACAGAACATACGATTATTTTAGTACAAACTTCACAACTTAACCTTAACTCAATTTATCATAACTACAAATGTAATGTGAAAAGGCAGAACTATTTACACGTATGGTGGTGCCATTAAAATCTCACATTCAACCGCTGTCGCACATTAATGACATAAGCAACAATTTGGCAACAGCACCATCTGCAAAATGCTTCAATCTTAGCCACCTCTAACGGTTTATGGAAGCAGTTTGAATTGAGTTGATTATGTTTTATTTTTATTTTATTTTTTTTGCTGGTTGGTTTAACGGCAGTGTGAGTTATTCCTGAGACTTTTTTTATGCTGTTTAATCTTACTTCTGATGGGCTTTAGAATTAAACCCAATGCATTTTTCTCTATGGTTTGATGTCTGAAAAATTTTCCTGAAACATGAGAATGTCCTAAAATGTACACCATACTCTTGTCAGTGCCTTATGTCTCATGGGAAATGAAATTATACATTTTGAAGAATTTAGATGAAAAAGACATTTTTTGTCATTGAACCTATGTTCTGAAGCAGCAAAATTACATTTCTGCACAAACTGTTCTAGAGCATACAAACAACACATAAAAAGACGTAAACAGGATTAGGCTGACTGTGGTATGCAGTCATTGCGCTCTCACATGTAGACAAAATAAAAGGGTTGCAAGAGTAGTGGGAAGGGATGAGGGAGAAAAACAGGCACCCCAACGCTGCCCCCAGAAGAGGACAGGGCTGGGTTCCAGGAAAAACACCTCAAACATAAAAGCAAATATTCAGATAATTTCAACATAAACCACATGAGGTGGGTGGGAGTGGCAGGATACGCCATACAACTAAGCGAGTTTGCAGCCATCCAGCATGTCCTTCAACCTCTGCTGCCCAAGGGTCAGAAGGAGAGTCAGGGGAGGAGGAGAAATATGTGGGATGGTGTTTGCGTTTCTGTGAAAGTTGTGTGTTTTTGCATTTGTGTTGTGTCACTAGAAAGTGAGTTTGTGAACTTTCTCCCAGATCAGTCACAGTGTAACAATAATCTGGATCTCTTCTCTTTATGTATCTAATTGTAAGAAAGGATAATTTCCACTCTAAAACAACTCCTTATTCTAAGAGAGAACTGTCAAGAGTTTTTCTCTTTGAGATTACTGAGGACACATGTCTGGGAAAACATACATCAAAATGTAGTATTTGTTCAATCTCAACAAGCTTGAAGTTAATATTTAATATGACCCTCTTTAATCTTCAACGTGCAAGGAACATTCTCAGGAGACTTTTCTATTTTTGTCCTTTTCTTTTTTTGGGGGTGGGGTGGGGGGTGTATACATTAGAAGTAGTTTTCCAAAACTCCACTTTGAATGTTGACTTCATTATTGTTTTGCTCTCTGTCAATTGTAGTCTACAGTGCTTTTTTTTTTTTTTTTTTTTTTTTTTTGCTTTGATCCCCAGGGAGACAGACATTTAAAAAAAGCTATTTTTGCCTCATTCAGATCATTCTTATAGTTTGAGATTGGAAAAAGATCCCCAAGATCCACGTCTGACTTGCAACTACAAAACCATGTCATAGTCTTTGTTGTATGTAACAGATTAGAATTCCTTTAGACAACTTCATGATAATAAAAAAAACACCAATGCTTAATTTAGATTCATGACTTTGTGAGACCTGAAGCCATTGATTTTCCATCTAGGCATTCTGTTAATTTGGTATACCTCAGCTTTCCCCTCCTTTCTCTTTTTTTCATAATGACTTCATGACAGATGAATTTCCATTGAGAGCAATCTGCTATAATGCAGTACATTAACTGCAAGACCAGCATTATCTCTCTCATGTTCTGGTTGAGGTCTATTTCTCTCTCTCTGCAGATGCTAATTATCTGTAGTATATAATATTCAAGATTAGTCAATCATTCTTTTAGTCCCTTGTTTGCCCATCTTTCAGATATGCATTTTCATGCCATACCAGATATCACAAGTCAATACTAATATTTTAATTATAACAAAACCATTTTGTGCCTGTCACACTTTGAGGTTACTGGCACTTTTTGTAGAATGAACTGTAGAAATATAAAATCAAATGTTCTTATAGTAGAAAGTGTATTAATTGTGTGCTTAATGATTGAATATCTCTTATTCATTGTGTTTAGATACATTTAAAAAGTTTATGTTGAGTATTAAAAACAACAATATCTTTGTGGTTGAGACATTGATGATGAAATGTTTTCTTCTTATCATTTCATTTCCAGCTGTGCGGAAAAAAGACTTTGCCAACATGACTGGCTTGTTGCATCTGACACTGTCAAAAAACACCATCAGTCAGATTCTTCCATCAGCTTTTAGTGATCTGCGACGACTCAGAGCGCTCCACCTAGACTCTAATAGATTAACTGTGGTCAAGGTAAGATTGCTTAATGGGATAATGGTGGTGTTGAACTGGCCCACAGCAACAAAATAGATGTGATATGGACAAATATCTTATCAAAAAATAGATGCAATATTTATGTGGAAGATTTTTTTCATGTGTCTCACTGCCTTTTCTTTTCAACAAACAGGATGACCATTTTAAAGGTCTGACCAATCTTCGCCATCTGATCTTGGCGAATAACCAGCTCCACGCCATATCTCCCCATGCTTTTGATGACTTCTTGTCTACTTTAGAAGATTTAGATCTCAGTTACAACAACCTTGCACAAGTCCCCTGGGATACTATTGGTCGTCTAACCAATGTCAACACCTTAAACATGGATCACAATCTCATAGAGAACGTTCCCCAGGGCGTTTTCACCAATCTACACAAACTGGCCAGGTAAGGACATGAAAATGAATGGATAAATATAGACATACTAAATGTTAAAGCTTTTTGCCATTTTCACTTCTGTGCATCCTTTCCCTTTCCTTTATCAGGCTGGACATGACATCAAACAAACTCAAGAAAATTCCCCCAGACCCATTGTTTTTAAGGATCCCGGTATATGCCAAGTCTAAAGGCTCCCCCCTCTCCTCCCTTGTGTTGAGTTTTGGTGGTAACCCCCTCCACTGTAACTGTGAACTTCTGTGGTTAAGGAGATTAACCAGGGAGGATGACTTGGAGACATGTGCCTCCCCCCCAGATCTTAGTGCCAAGTACTTCTGGACAATACCTGAAGAGGTCTGTGTTCTTCATTTATAAAGTATAACAGTGCTAGAAACATTTATGTACAAAGTGAAACATGCATGTATGCCACAGACAGCAATCTAGATGTTTTTAGTTCAGTTCAGTTCTGTTTTATTTTTCTTTAGGAGTTTATTTGTGACCCACCAGTTCTGACACGAAAGTCCCCTCAAATCATTGCAATGGAAGGACAGCCTGCCAGCTTAAAGTGCAAAGCCAATGGTGACCCAGAGCCTGGGGTCCACTGGGTCACGCCTGAAGGACGACTTATATCCAACACCTCCAGGTATCATCATGATGCTGCAATATGGTCAAGTTAGAAAAGAAAGCTCATTTTCTTTTCATGTCTAGAGATTTTCCAATGTTTTAATATAAAAGGTTGTCACCAGTTTTTGAAGACAATGTTCATGTGTGTAGACCACAGTAGAAAAGCTAGGTAGTCATTATGAAAAAATAAATTCTTAATGTTCTTAATGTTCAACTTGTATATCAGTCTGACTCAAAATATTTTTTATTGTTACAAAACTATTTATTATTTTATTTCTATCTGTAACTGCACCAGAAGAAAGTTCTAATTTGCAGAAGCAGTGGTGCATCTTCATTCAAAAATGAACTCATCAAGTTTAGGTGTTAAAAATACAGCTAGATGAGACACGAGAGGAGTGAGAGGCTAAATGGATGTTTGGGTTCATTTCATTTTACTGTTCAGTAACATATTGACAGGTTTTCATATAATTATGCTTTATTGAAGAGCAGCTGCCACTAAGAGGTTGCATATGTAAGCCCATCTTTAGGTACTAATTAGATCATTTAAAAACAGGTACTCAACTTAAAATGAAATGTTTTAACTGCTACTATTACCACACAGTAATTTTCAATGCACATATGTAAAAATAATTGATTGTCATTTAACAATCAGCCAGGTGTTATTTTGTAAGTTATAGCCGTCACTGCTGCAATTTACTTTTAAACTGAAGTTTTCTAGAAAAAAAAATTCCTGTAAATTTTGGTTTCAGGGTTTTCAGTGTGCAACAAAAGGAGCAAGAAAACAGAAAAAAATATAATTACAAGATAATCTTGGTTATACAATATATGGTTGTAATTGATAAATATTTAGGTTTAATGTGCACAGTTTCCTTGCCCCATAAACTTAAGGTTATTATATTTAGACTTTTGGAGACAATAAAACAAAGAATTATTCATATTATCTTATTCTATGAGACACAATGCTATCGTGATTCAGCCCAGACGGTGACTGAGACATGCCCACATTTTTAACTGTCGAAAGCCCGTGATTGGTCAGCGAGCCACTTGAGTGATGTTTATTTGACATGGACACAGCAATTACATTGGACGAACCAGATGCATTGTTTAGTGTGTTAGCACACGTGCTAATTTGCAACACTTGTCCATAGAACCTTTCTAAAAAGTAGACTACATTTAAATAAAATACAAAGAGATCAACAATAAATCAAAGAGAAAACACATTAAAATTGCAAACAATTTTCAATAAAAAAGAATAAAAAGAATAAAACAAGGCAATTTGAGCAGCAATGCAAGACTTTAAAACTATTCATGTAGACATTGTTGTTTAGACTTTAACCATTTTTTGAGTTCTTTGTTAAAAACGTTACTGTCCGTTTCTAGTTTTACGTCAACAGGTAGAGAGTTCCACAGTTTGGCCCCCTTTACAGAAAGAGCAGACTGACCAAAAGAAGTCTTGCACCGCGGGACGAGACAATCGCCGCAGGTGGAGGCTCGAGTGATCGTTCTATGAGAGCTCCGACGTCTGATGGCCACAGTAGAGAACAGTTTAGACAATTTATCATTTAGACAATTGAAAAAGAATCTTAGTGCTAAAATTAATAAAATTTTCAAAAGTGAGAAGATTATGTTTCCTTAAAATACGGCAATGATGCCATTTCAATGGTTTCTGGTCCATAATTTTTATTGCTTGCTTGTATATTAAGACTATAGGTTTTAGAGTGGTGGATGAAGCCTGTGACCATGATGTAATGCAATATGATACGTGGGGAAAGATCAGTGCATGCATGTACAGTTTAGCAGTTTGGTGTGACAGGTTCCTTCTGATAAAACGGAAGCAGTTTAAATTTGTTTTAACCTTATTACAGACGTGCTTAACCTGACTGTCAAATTTTAGGTGTTTGTCTAGGATGATCCCAAGGTACTTCACATCACTCCTTACTTCAATGATTTTCTCTTTAATCCTAACCTGAAATAGTTCCTGATCAGGCCTGTTTCTCATGGAGAAGCATATGGACACAGTTTTTTTAACATTAAGAGTTAGGTGGGATGACTCTAGCCATTCTGAGATGTCTGATAAAGCCTGCGTCAGGCGCTCTCCTGCCAGGCCAGGTGTTTTTGTGGAAACTTCCTTTAAGTTTGTCAACAGCACACGTGCTGATGAAAACTAACAGCAGACCTGGAGCAGATCATAGAACGGCTAACAGAAGGAGTCCAACTGAATGCTTATTTATATTCTTGTGACTGAAGGAGGACAAAGAATCACAGCAGACTTTTATTTTGTGGAATGAAAAGGAAAATAAATTTTGTCTGTGTTAAAAAAAATCTCTGAAATATATGTACACAATATAAAATGCTCAAACACAGTAGTTTTGTGGACCAGAAACGTGACTGCAATGGTTGCAGAACACCCCCAGAAAAGCATTATGCCCTCTGTTGTCCTGGAAGGGAATTGCTTCACAACACCCGCTATGCAGGGGCAGATGGTGACAACAATTCAGCCCTGGGATACCTTTGTCTGTCCAGCTGACTGGGATAAGAATAAAACTAGGTTTAGACGTAGTTCTTAAAGAGAAAGTGACCTAAATTTGAGTCAGCTGGTCAAAGTAAAAAATCTGGTGCTTTTGAGGTACCAATACCAAAGGATACCAGTGCTACAGTTTGAGTTTTCAGCTATTATGAAAGTGTAATGTCATGGTGATTATTTTGAAAGGATCTTTTTCACAAGACATTTCTGTTTACATCTTCATAAAATGTCTAGAGAGCACTATTCAATGTACCTTTTTCTTTCTGTGGATATGAATTTTTTTCACCAGGCAGAGAAATGACCCCTCTGTGCAGCAGTTATTGCAGTAATTCCTAATAGATTGCAGATGAATGCTGTTGGCAAAGTTAGCATTAGCATCACATGCTGAGGGCAGCAGAATACACATTTGACTAAATGGATTAGTGAGGTGAACGCTGATTAGCAAATGTCCCCAGTGGAAGTGACACTAAAGGGGAGTTTAAAGAAAATCAATTGGTCTCGACAGTTTTCTCATTAAAATGACTGAGGAGCAAGTTGTTGCCTTGCTTTTGTTTGAATAAAATGATCGTTTTTACACCTTAAACCATGATTGAAATTCCATTGTGACCTGCCTGTGACCTAAAGAACTCAGACAATATGTAAGAGAAACAAACAAAACTATTACTTTGTCTATACTGTCGACCTGAACACATAGACAACTAGAATTTGTGTCTCTCAATGTCATCCTTTATCATGCTGGGTGGGGGTAAAATGAACATCATATGGGACTGCAGTATTTTAGAAAACCTATAATAGTCAACGTTGTGTTTCCACAAGCCTTACCTTTGTATATGTCACTTTACTTTTATGTAGAAAAAATAAACAGTAGACAGTGAGACTAAGTATTTAACTGATTTTGTTTTTTGAATTTCCTTTTGTTGAAGGACTTTGGTTTTCCCCAATGGAAGTCTAGAGATCAATGTCATATCGCTGAAGGATTCAGGAAACTTCACCTGCATTGCCTCCAATGCAGCAGGTGAATCCACAGGAAGGGTGGAGTTAGTCGTCACAGCAGTGCCTCATCTCGCGAACAGCACAAGCCGCAGCCGAGATCCTGCGTCTGAGCCAGCGCCCTCTGACATCCTGACCTCCTCTAAGGTTGCGCTGCCAAACAACGAGACGAGAGGAGGAGATAGGAGGGTCTCGCTTGTGGAGCTGACAGGAAACTCTGCCCTCATTAGATGGAATAGTCAAACTCCCACATCTGGAGTCAGGATGTTCCAGGTCCAATACAACAGCTCTGGGGACGACACTCTGGTGTACAGGTCTGTCTTTCTGCTCTCCCTCTTCTAGTTGATACTTTTTACCGATGTCTGTTTGCTTGCAGACGTGTGTGTGTGTGTGTGTGTGTGTGTGTGTGTGTGTGTGTGTGTGTGTGTGTGTGTGTGTGTGTGTGTGTGTGTGTGTAGGTGTAGCTGTGTAAAAGTTTTCTCGGAGACATTAGCTACTGTTATGTGGGTAAAAATGATAGTTAATACAAACTTGAGATCATTGTCCCAAGTTACACAACTTAAATCAGCAAAGTTGATGAAGACATCAGCTGGACAGGTTTTATTTTCTTGGATGTGCTGAAAACTGCAAAGCCAGGAACAAATGGAATGATTCTGCTGAGAACGTTGCAACTCTTGGGTCAACTTTGCCTTTTTGTAGATCTTTTGCTATAAACCACAATTTCTGGGTTTCACAGTAGGAGATAACGAGTGGAACATTTCCCTCATTACAAATACTTTGTTGCAATTATGAAGTCACTTTTTATCATTGGCAATTGGTGTTGACTTTCATTTTTATTCAGAGCCGTAACCAAGAGAGAGCGATTTGAATATTTGACCTTTCTAATGATTTCTCCTCATTTTTTAGTCGGTTTTTGTTTATTGCTGTTGCTGGTTTGACTCATGCTTTGAATGATGTGTTAACAGCTATGTTACTCTCTAATGCAGAATGTTTACATGTGAGTCTTTTGGGTAGATCTCTCCACACAGTCTTTTTCACCTCCATCTCTACTTTTTCATATAAATATTAGAACTAAGCTGAGCCTCGCGGCACTTAGGGATAAAAGTAAGATGTCTGGTACAGCTCTGTTGTCTCGGAGAAGCTTAAAAATGATATTTTGTGCTAAAGATGAAATGCTGTCAACTTTATTTCTCAAATAGTTTTATGGAAACCTAAGTAAACCCTCTTTATTTTCAGTCCCAAGTAAAGTTTTTACATTCTAAGATGTTGTCATAGCAACTACTAGTAAGTGGAGTCCCAGCTTGTCAAATAAAACAAGTGAGTTTAGTATCACACATTGAACTATATTTATTTACTTGCTTTTGGAGCTTGAAATCAAAGAGTCATAGATATTAACTTTTTTTGTTCATATTATTTATTCATGATGATTAGAAGAACCAAAAGTTGCTATTTGATCATCTCTAAACAACTCCAGACAGGATGGAGATAAAGGTATAACTGATGTTTTGTTGTTTTTATTCCAAGGCCATTGATTGAAAATATTTCGAAAAAGCAGCTTTGAAACCTGTTTCTGAATATCTCCCTTTTACATGACTACACCATAATTGGAGCCTTTTAATTATCTTTCTTTTGGAATCTTTTTTTTTCTCAACAAAAGGTGCAAATGCAGTGAAAAATCTCAGTTTATGACTGGGCTTTTGTCTGTGAGACACTTGTGGACAAAAGACAGGAGGATGATGAGGGGATATTTATTTGCAATACAACACAATTATGTATTCAAAATGTTTAGCTAATCACGGGAGGCAAGCAGCCTGCTAGAATTGCAAATATGGCTAACGTTAACCTGCACAGCATATGTCCATCTGCAGCTGGCTGGCCAGTGCTGAGTGTTTGTGACAATATTGTTGTTACTGAGTACATTTAGGATTGTGTACATGCACGTTTGTGTTTGAGACTGGGAACCGTGTGTGCTTGCTATCTATCTATCTATCTATCTATCTATCTATCTATCTATCTATCTATCTATCTATCTATCTATCTATCTATCTATCTATCTATCTATCTATCATCTATCTATCTATCTATCTACCCTGTTTGTGACCTTTTAACCCTTAACCCCAAACAGTGTGTGACGAGTCTCGGGGTCAAGCTGGATGCTGGACTCACAATGGCCCCACAGATAAACTCTGTAGTGAGGTCGTGTTTTTATCAGCTTCGCCGCCTTACTCACCTCAGACGAATCCTGAAACGGAGGCATTTAGAGTCAGTCATTCATGCATTCATTACCTCTCGCCTGGACTATGCAAACGCCCTCCTCGTTGGTGTTTCCGGACTCTGCCCTGAATCGGCTGCAGGTTGTTCAGAATGCTGCTGCCAGGTTCTTGACGGGTACACACCGACGTAGCCACATTACACCTGTCCTGGCACATCTTCACTGGCTCCCTGTCATTTTCAGAGTGCAGTTTAAGTTACTGACTTTTGTTTTTAAAGCGCTCAGTGACCTGGCACCTTCCTACCTCTCTGCCCTTCTCACTCCATATGTGCCCACCCGCTCGTTGAGGTCGGCTGACCTATTGCTGCTGCACACGCCGCGGATGAGGCTCAAATCGCGGGGTGAACGAGCATTTGTCCATGCTGCCCCAAAGCTATGGAACTCATTGCCCATTGGAGTTCGGCAGGCTCCATCTCTGGCGGTTTTTAAATCTCGTTTAAAGACCCACTTTTACACTTTGGCTTTTAGACAGTGACTCGTTTTAGTGTTTTATTGTGTCATTGTTTTAATGTGTTCTTATTATTCATGTTTTCTCTGCTTTTAATTGAGATTTTATCCTTAGTTTTAGCTCCTTGTAATGGGTGTGTTTTATTTTAGCCTGTGCAGCACTTTGGGCAGCTCCCATGCTGCATTTTAAATGTGCTATATAAATAAACTATGCTATGCTATGCTATGCTATGCTATCTATCTATCTATCTATCTATCTATCTATCTATCTATCTATGCCAGCTAGACGTCACCTGGCCAAACAAGGTCTGCGTCAGGTGATAAAAGGTGGGCTACTGCAACAAAATGGAAAAAGGTGAGATCTGGATCTGTTGGAATGCTACTACTCCAGTAACCCTAGTCAAAGGGTTAAATGCAGAGAATGCAGGAAGAATGGCTACTTCGAAACCCTCACTCAACACTAACAGCCAAACAACTAATATTTCAGTGTTCCAACATCCACAAACGGCAACTGCTATCACAACTTGAGATTGAGGAGTTACAACACAAATGCTACGGCACTGACACAAGATCAGAAGGGAGTTAACATCAACTCCACATCCAGAGATCAGGTGCAAAGCCCCAAGAAGTGAAACAGTGCTGAGCGAGGCTGCAACTGAACTGAGAGAAAGGATAATGGTGCAAATAAGCAGGCAACCCAGACACCAACTACAACAGCTGAGTGACCATCAGAAAACCTTGATGATGTGAATGCAGTATTGAGAAAGATTCCTACAACTACCATCACTGAAAAAAATGATCTGATGTACACTTCAGCATCCTTGAGATGGATGGCTATAAGAGCAACCATGAGCCACCATGGAAAACAAGGTTGGAAACCACAATCAAGGCAGCACGTAGAAAAGTGAGCCAATTGTCAAAGCTCTAGAAAGGTACAATGAGAAAGCCAGAACCCAAGAGCTACAATCTGAAACCCATATACGAAGCACTGCAAACTACTAAACAAAGACTCCAAGCCTTGGCCAACCACCTAAAGAGATACACGAGAGAAAATGAAGCCAGACAAACAAAGCATACTCCTCAAGGCTGAAGACTGAACAGTACTGGAAGGGCATTTGGGAGAAGGAGGCATCAAACAACAGCAATACAAAGTGGCTAGCCTGTCTAAGAGAAGACCACAGCAACCTCTCTGAGCAGAACTTCTCTCTCTTCTTCTCTAAGAGAAGACCACAGTATCCATCCTTGTGGCAGACATCGAGGAAAGCATCTCAGGTATGAAAAACTGGACAGCACCCAGACCTGACATGATCCACACCTACTGGCTTAAGAAGTTCACTGTACTCCATGAGCGCCTTGCAGCACAGATGAACCAGCTTCTAAAGGATGAGACTCACCTTGAATGGCTAACAGAAGGGCAAACAATCCTGATCCTGAAGGACCTCTCCAAAGGTACAGCCAATAGACAACAAAAGTTGGCCAAGACTGCAAAGCCAGACACACAATCCTTCGCACGGCCTGGATTGATTACAAGAAAGACAATGACTCAATGCCGCACTCATGGATCATTGAATGCTTGGAGCTGTACTACATCAACAGGACTCTGACACCTTCATTACAAACTCAATAGGGCTGTGGGAAAACCACCCTTGAGGCCAATTGCAAGCCATTTGCACAAGTCTCCATCAAATGTGGCATATCCCAAGGAGATGCCCTGTTCCCACTGCTGTTCTGCATAGGTCTGAACCCCAATAGCCAAAAAATCAACTAGGCTGGCTATGGATACCGAATCAAGAATGGAACCACAAACAGCCACCTCCTCTACGTGGATGACATAAAGCTGTACGCCAAGAGCGAGCGAGACATTGACTCACTGATCCACACCACCAGGATTTACAGCACTGATATCGGAATGTCATTCAGACTTCAGAATTGAGGTTGACAAAGAAAGAGAAGGTAGTCCACACAGAAGGGGTCTCCCTCCCAGAAGGAACAACAACAACAGCAGACACACACACACACACATATATATATATATATATATATATATATATGTGTGTGTGTGTGTGTGTGTGTATGTATATGTGGTAATCCTCTGCAGGCGGCCTCATCCTTCCAATCTAGGGTTCTCTACCAGAGGTCTGGGAACTTGAGGGTTCTGCGCAGTATCTTAGCTGTTCCTATCCTCCCAGGTATTTTTCACCCTAATGGCGAGGTCTTGCTCGACCACAAAATACTGCTTGCTTGCAATGATTTAGGTATGTACTGTCCCCTATCATCAGGGAAAATGCAGGGAGCATTGTTCCAAAGGTGTGTAAATATCTTCTGGAACAGCTGTAGTTTGAAATGGCCTTAAGAAAGAACAAGAACAACTTAGAAACCTTTTAAAATGCAAATGATCTAGGTGTTATTGTGAGCAAATCCAGCTCAAATCCTTTGTGTTTGAGTCTGGTGAATGTAGAAGTATCCATGTAATGTAACAATGTATATTTTAGAGAGACAGAAAGATAGAGACATGAATGCATGGAACAGCGACTATCTAGTTCACTCTAAAGCTAAATTCTGTTCTGGTGTTTTAGATAACATGATGTAATAAAT